CAAACTTGCAGAGCTTTTACAAATCTTCAAAATTATTATTATTTCCAGAACGTTTTCAAAATTTTAGGTTCTCTTTTAAAGCGCAGAAAGTAGAATATTGGAGTCTGTTCCAGCAACTAGACTTAAGTAGAATTTTTTCCTTTGATATGGATAATCATAGATAACAGAACAACGATCACCTAAGGCTACGATTTAACAAAGACTTTAGTTACTAAGCCTATGGACAGCGAACCTAGGGAGCTGAAGTCTAAAAATAGCTAGAATAGGAATAGAGATAATTGGAACACAGCGAATAGGAACAGAGAGAAAAGGCAAGAATAGGTACAGTAACAATGGAAACAATGAGAATAAAAAAGCGAGAATAGGAATAGGGAAAATAGGAACAAAGCGAGAATATAAACAGGGAGTCTAAAGAAAGCGAGCAGAGACAGAGCTACATTCCGTACATTACTATATGATATATTTTAATGATTCAAATAATTTATCAGACTCTTTGTCATCTCTTGGCATGACATAAGTCTAATGCAGCGCCAGTTCCCAGATAAGCCTAGCAATCACAGCACTATCTGAGGGTCAACACTGCAGACATTCAAGTATCCATTGCAACTCAGAAATTCTGAAGCTGAATGTTGATAAAATATAGGAAAGTTTCTATTGTAATTTAAATTAAAAAGCAATGATTTCAAATATATAATATTTAAGAAAAACTAATAGTGGCCAGAGTCATTAATTATTATTAAATAATTTCAATTATCTATATCATCTTTAACAAGAGAGCAGAAAACGAAGAGTAGACTCACACTGGCATTTATTAGCAAGAAAAGTCGCTCACAATCAGGAAAAAACTCTCAACTGGGTAACAATTCAGCTGCAGTTGGACTTAAAGCAATTTAGTTATTCAGACTCTCGCTCCTTCAGTTGCCATAAATGCGACTCCTGCTACAACCACAAAGTAGAGTATTAGAATGCAGTTAAATGCAGAAAGCGCAAGCCCTGCATTGGGACTTATGAACTGCACAGCAGCAGCAGCAGAGCTCTGCTCAGACAATCAGAGCCGGCGGCAAGGGCTGTGCATAGGAAATGGCTCGTAATGCCATTCAAGCAGCAAATGCCAGGGCAGGTAGCTCAATGTAAAGCCTGGCCCAGGCAAACTAATCGCGCTGCAGCGGTTGACTGACTAAATTAATTTATAATAAGCGCAGCTTGATTAAACTGCATTATGCCAGCTGAATGACGACAGCCCAGGCCAGGGATTTGACGTCAGCTTGAAGCGATCGCGGGCCACTTTAAAGCTGAAAAAAAAAAAAAAAACAGTCAAACTAATGTTGGGCAATATGTTAGGCTAAAATTAAATAGAGTCGTTACGGAGTCTGTT